ATGTACCAATGTGGGCCTGCTGCCTGTTTTATAAATAAAGTTTTATTGAAACACAGCCATGTCTATTATTTGTGTATGTTTAAGGCATGTTTCAATGACAGAGCTGAATAGTTGGAACAGAGAATGTACAGTACACAATGCCTAAAATAATCACTATCTGGCTAGTTATAGGAAAGGCTGGCTAAGCTCTGGTCTTACATGGTTTGATTAGTACTTTAGGCATTTATTTCCCCAGATCACTTAGTATCCTGGGCTTGTACAATGTTAGCATCAGTTGTAGATAAGATAATTAGAAGATGATTTGATCAGTGCTTAAAATGAATTCAACTGAACCTCTTCCTTAAAAGTGATAGAATTGTGTGCAATGAACTTGACAGTCTTGATAGAGAGGATGGATAGACAACTGCATTTCATTGTTGTTCCTTGCGTTAGGAAAAGATCTACATTATAAGGAAAAACAGCTTAATTGATATTCTTCAGTTGTCTGGTTGGCTAGCGACTGTGGTATATCTTCACTATAGTGCCCAAAGAGGCACCTTTGGAACAGGAAATGGTTATCAGATTTTAATGGCACAGATGGAAATTTGCTTCCACAAAACTTGAACATAGCCAAGGTTTAACTAATAGATAAATTAGGGTCTCAAAATTCTCATTAGCACAAAACACCGCACTAAGGATTTATTCTAGGATTCCACTAAATAGAACACATTTCTAGGACAACAAAAGAGAAAATGTGAAATACTTTCTGAACCTGAGAATCTCTTGCATAGATTCAGAGGCATTTATGAACAAAAAGTAATTTTAAATACATGGACAACCTCTAATATTTCTGCTCTGGTTGCAACTTTTACTTATTTAATGAGCCCGATCAACACCTTTACTTCTTACCAAGTTTATGCATCAATTCAGTGGTCCATGATATTAAGGACAAATAGAATCCTAAGGAGAGACATAAATTCACAAGCACCCTTTTCAGGTGAAATCAAGGCCATATAAAGCATACAGATTTAATTGGCAAAAGAGCAGGTGTTTTTCAAGGTTTATATTTTACTTCCTCCTTCTTATATTTACCAAAGAAAAATGCCAAATTTATCCCCCCCACATACTCCAAAAGTTACTGAGTCAGAAAAATATAAAACTCTCTTCCATTTCACACCTGGAAATCTGCCTTTTGTGTAAAAAAAAATCAAGATTATCTATGCTCATTCACTAAATGTCTGAATGTTTGATTCATTAGCAAGTTCTGTAAATATTTGCTTTTAACTTTCCCATTACAAAGGGTTTTTTTCTTTCTGACTTCTTCCTAAAGAAATTTATTTTTCTGGCTAACTGAAGATGTCCATCAATTTGTCGTGCTAAGCCAACAAAAACAAACTTGGTTGATTGATTATGATCGTTAGTATAGTTTTTACATTCAAGAAATATTTAGTAATATTCTAGTTTTCTCATTTTTTGAAGGAATTTCTTGACAAAAATGAAATTGGCTGGCACAAGGGGAGATTCTCTATTTCTCCCCCCCCCCATTGGTCATGTGGCTTGAACTCAGAGCCTGGATACAGTCCCTGAGCTCTTTAAGCCACGGTTTCACCCCCAGATTTTTGGTGGTTAATTGGAGATTTTACAGATTTTCCTGCCTGGGCGGGCTTTGAACCAGGATTCTCAGATCTAAGCTTCCCGAGTCGCTAGGATTATAGGCATGAGCCACGAGCATTCAACTGAGTCAAAATTCTCTGAAGCTCTCTTGTCCTGGTTGAGGGAGACTTTATTCTTGCCTGCCAGAGAAATGAACTGTGCATTCCAGTCTACAGATAATAAGATTTGAGTCTTTGGCCAGCCATTTAATCCCTGTGGGTCTCAGATGAAATGAAACTACCCTTTTACTTACTAAGGAGACTGAGCTGTTTGAAGTTCTTTTCCAGTTCTAATTTCTGAGTTTTTCCAAGTGCTTATAAAATATATTTTAGAACAAGTATCCTTAATTTGATAGCAGGGATTCTTCCATCTGCTTAGAGCAGCCTTGGTGACACATTTCAATGCTTTGGGGAGATTAAAGGAATAGTGATCACTTGTCCCAATCCAAAACTTTTGGTTCAATTTCCTCTGGCATTGAGATTTCTAGATTATTTTCCTGGGTGATTCTAACATGCAATCAAGGCTGAGAATTCCTATCTAAAGATTGAAATCAGTAGAACCTAATACCTCTTGTCTTTATCCTTCTGATAGGGGTGATGGGTACTTATTTGGTGCCATATGATCTATCAAATACTATGTTGGAAAAGTTTAGATTACATTTGGTTGCTACTGGAGAGACCTGACAGAGATTTAGCTAAGACAGTAATATACTGTTTCTCACCTAAGAGAAAGTTAATAAGAGGTTATTCAGGATTCTAGGTAGTTCAACAGTGTCACCAATATTTCAAGCACCTTTTGTCCTTCCTGCCTGCTATTCTTGGTGTGTGGCTTTGTCTTCAAGTTTTCTTCATAGCATTCACTTTAACTTTTGGGCCACGTCTGTGATCTTCATCATATCTTCAGACAAAGAGAAAGCAAAAAAGAAGCAAAAAAATATGCTTCTCCATCACTGCTACTTACCCCCTCTCACTTTCCACCCTCCAATGCATAACCTCTTCTGCCAGCTCATGGCTACTCCTAGCTATAGGAGAACAACAGAATTGTTTAGCTGGGCATATTGCCATCCTCCATAAAGCAGGGCTTGTTAAAAAAGGGACAAAGCAGATGTTGGGTGTGACAACTGACGATCTTTGCCATACTTTGAATGCGCTATTTATTTCACTTCATCCTCATAACAACTCCGTGGCATAGGCTCTGTTATTGGGTCTTTTTCAAAGATGAGGAAAGTGAAGCTTAAGGATTACACTAGCAACTCACTCATAATGACATTTATGCTAAACCAGACACCACGAATTGACTTGCCACGCTGTCCTGTTTCCCTGTCACGAAGTCTGACTCCTTTCTGGGGCTTGGGTGGTGTTTTCTGACTCCTTTCTGGGCTTAGGTGGTGCTCTTTGTAGAAGCTCAAGCCTTCCATGTTAGATATAGGCAAAATGAGATGCATCAACCCATGGGTAGTTGTTCAGCTCTTGAGACCTCCATTTTGATGAGATTAACTTGTGTTTCAGCTTACTTATCGAAGATGCCTTCCATTGGCCTTTGCAGCCATCTTGGAAGAGATCAATGCAAGGCTCAAAGAGGGATTTGGGGTTCCTATCTAATAACTCGGTCTATCAGATTCTCAGGCAACTCTACTAGAAGTCTGCACTGGAAGCCACCGCTGCTTCTTCATTGGGATTTCCTTCTTCCTGAACTTACAGATTTTGGAAAGAGTCAGTTGTGTGGAGAGCAAGATATAGTGAGTAGAGTTTTATTTGGAGTTAAAGAGGGGTATCTTTGTTTGCTGCTAGTAGTTTAAAATCTTAGCTTCTGGGTCTAGTGGTCCCAAGTTTGAGTCACACACTTATGATTGATTGGGTGTGTGGTACTCACAAGTCATATTACTTCTTCCTGTTGCCCTCTCCTTATACGCCAAGGGTATGGTTTTAGCTTTATAGGATTATGGTAGGTACTTACTACTATTCTTTATATTAATCAAATACCCAATATATAGAAGTTACTATTATTACTTTCCAATGTTTTCTCTCCTTCTGCCTCTGAGGACAAAGGTTATGTGGGCTAGTTATAGATTACAATTTGTATGGTCTCTGAGTTCTGTATTTCTTGTGAAATGACAGGAAACATGTGAATCGTCTTGTGATTCATAGTAGCACTTTAATCATCAGTGTCATGGCTGATGTTGATTGCTAAGCTGACCATTTGGTGCCTAAATTAGCCATGACCTTCCTACCACCTCTGTGAGATAAGTTTGTATTGACTGGAAAATTTGTGTTCGTGTTTTAATTCACAAGATTGGACTGAGGTGTTTATACACTAGTTATGAGGAGAATGACACTTGAAATATGCAAGAAATAGCACTAATGATACTGAAAACTGAAACAACAATGTGCTACCTTCTTTTTTTTAGTAATGGTTTCAGTAATACCACTTTCTGGGAAGAGCTGGTAGCCAAAGAATTACAAACTAGAACAATCCACAGGCCAGGTGTGGGACTAAAAAGGATTTGACCACCCCTTAAACAATCTGCATTACTTTTGAATACACTGGAAAGAGCCATACATTCAAATGGAAGAGAATTACGATTGTTAGACTTTCCTGGGACCTAGAAGTACCAAGGGGAAAGAAAAGAAAGGAAAAGAAGAGGGGAAAAAGAGTTGAAAATAGGAACAAGGCTTAACTTTGGTTGAAAGCCACAACAACTCAAGAAAGAAAGTCATAAAGAGAAAATTAATGGTCCTCATCCTCTTATTGCATGTATTTACCCCTATGTGCATCGATTCAATCATAAAACTACTTTTATCTTGATAAATCAAGCCATAAAATAAATGTTATGGAACATAAAGCTATGGATGTGAACCCTGAGGGACAATTCATTGCTCAGTTTTTGGAAATACAGAAGCATCTTAACATTGGGAAGAAAATTCCAAGACTTCTAGGCTGATGCACATAATTTTCCTGTCGTAATCCTCTCTATTTGAATCAAATCTACTGCAGAACTCCAGTAGAAAAGAACAGCAGCAGTTTAGTAAATATCCGGAGTTAAAATTATTCATAACCTTCCCAATTTCCTTGCTTCTTTTTTTTTTTACACCTACCAATACCATAAATATATTCTGGGGTTCTTCAGGTGATAGTTCATCACTCTAGTCACACCAATCCTTCACTGCTTTCAGTAAGATTCTTGATAACTCACCTCAGGTTCTTAGTTTACAGAGTGAAGTGCTGTGCAGCACGTTGCTAGGTCTTTACGAAACTTTGAAGCTTTTTCAAGAAGGCCATCTTTTCAGTCTTTATGGGTTTCTTGTGAATAAGGACAAAATGACCAGTGTTTCTGTATGGGAGAGCAAACAGTCCTATCTTTTGCCCTTGTCTTTATTTCTTGCCCAACTTGCTTCTTATTTAGGCCTTACTGAATCAGATGAAGGTGGAGAGCAACCACGCAAGCCAGATCCATCCCAATTGTGAAAGAGATGCAACGCTGCCATGGTTTATAATTCTAGATCTGTTTGTGCAATTCTTTTGATTAAAGTCTATATTTCCTACTCGAGTGCAGTGACTGATCTACCAGAGGCTTCTTGGTCTTCACCCCTATCTTGGGACATGGCGAATCTGAGTTAGGCACCCTTTCCGCTCCGATGACTGCCAGTTTCTGTAAAAGGCAGGCAGATGCAGCTGGTTTCTCAGGCTGGACCTCTCTGCTGTCATTTCGGTCAAAAAATACCCAAAATAAAACCTTGAGGGGAATTGTTTGAGCCTCTCAGTTCTCATCACTCCTCACGTGAGCTGAAGAGTGTTTTTTTGAGTGTGTGTGGGGTGGGCTCTCTTTACTCCACTGGGAAATACCATTGCTTGGGGGAAATGACAGTGAAGGGAGACAAGAGCAGAGCAAGGCAAACCCAGGATCGAACTGCAAGAAGGAGGATGAAGAATCGCCCAGGTACCATTTGATGACTAACTACTAGTGCCTCTCAGAGTAACAAATAGGATGTTTCTAGGCCAGGAAAAGCAGATTGTAGGCCAGGAATGAATTATGTTTGGACTCTGAGGTCCTGAATTTGGTCAACACCATTACACATGTTGGGCAAGTCACTGAACATCTCTGAGCATCTCTCTGTCTCTCTGTCTCTCTTTCATCAGTCAAAGCAGGGAAGGGAATGGAATACTTCCTTGTCTATTTCAGAGGTTGTAGCAAGGCCTCTTATGAAATTATTTGTGTCAAAGACTAAGTTGTAAGCCAAGTATGTGTAATTACGGTTATTTTGGAGTTCCTGGGAGTTAAGGCTAGGAAACAGATAGACCTTAGCCACTCGTTTATTCAACATACCTGGTCTATATAAAGAAGAGCTGAATCCAGCATCCTTCCAGGCTCTGTTTGTGGTACAGAAGTTTTGAAAGGAGAGTGATTTTTTTAATCTTTCAAAATGGCTGATGTAGCTGATTATGTCTTGAAGCTCACTAGAAAGAGTTTTAAGTTGACAAGACTGTTAAGATGGGAGGAAAGGTTCCTGGCCTTTGGGGATGGAAACATGATCATCCTGAATCACAACCAGTCTTTAGAGGAGTGTTCTTAATTGTGGTTCAGTCTGCTGCCTGCCCCAGTGGCTCATGGGAAATCAGAAGAGAATAATGGCTGAGAGAAGGGTTTTGTCCAAGTTCCTTGGGTCTTAGTTTAGAGAGTAAATGTCTGTTGTGCATTAAAGTCATCCTAAAAGAAAAGTTACTGGTGACTAGTGCCTGGCAACCTTCTTTGACTAGCATCTGCACTGTGGCATGAATGTGGTTTGCATGGGGTTATTAAATAAACAAGTACAGACAATTTTGCCTATTTCCTCAGAGATATTTTATTGTGTCTTCATTAGAGCATCATACTCATTTAAATCAGTAGACTCCTCTGATCCCTTAGTTTGCTGCAGAGTGAGCACTGATTCCTGCCCACACGGCCAAGGCTCTGTGTGAGGTGACTGCACATGGCTTGTCTCTGTCATGCTTTGCACCCTCCAGGGGAAGGGCAGCCGCAGAGCTCTTATTTTTGTGCTATGTAGCATGTCTGGGTGTGCAGCAGGGGGAACTGAAATATACTCTTCTGGCTTTTTATACTTTTATGTTTTTACATTGCTCGTTTTGGAAAAGGGAAGCCCTCATTAGGGTTGAATTTATTGATTTGCTATAAGTGAGTGCCTTTGTTTCATCCTTCCTGAAACTCTACTGGCAACAGATGGACAGTAGGAAAGAAAGGCAATATGGTGAACTTCTCAGCCCCCAAACTGGAGATTCCTGTTGAAGTCCAAGAGTTCATGTTCAGGTAGACCGATTTTTCTAGGTGATGGACATTTGGGTGCCTACAAGTACTTACAGGGTCCTCAGACCTCAACAGAGTTGGTGAGAAGTCTACAGGTTTTGTGGGTGTGCTATCCGTAGCTGCAAATTGCTCGTCTTTAGGAAACTGGCCTTTCATCATCCTGGCTGCTGTATTATTATTTTGATCTCTGTTTGCTTTTCTTTGGATATTTTTTTCAAATTATTACTTAAGGATCTTTCTTTAGCCAGGCGTCAGTGGCTCACGCCTGTAATCCTAGTTACTCAGGAGGCTGAGATCTGAGGATCGCAGTTCAAAGCCAGCCTGGGCAGGAAAGTCTGTGAGACTCTTATCTCCAATAAACCACTCAGAAAACTGGAAGTGGCGCTGTGGCTCAAATGGTAGAGTGCTAGCCTTGAGCTAAAGAGCTGAGGGACAGTGCCCAGGCCCAGAGTTCAAGCCCTAGAATGGACCCAAAAAAAAAAAAAGAATCTCTTTTTGGTGATATTTGGGATCAAACTCAGGACCTTGCACTTACTAAGCAAGCACTGGATCTCTTGAAGCCATGCCCTCAGCCCTTTTGCTTTGGTTACATAAGGTATATATTTTGCATATATGCCTGGTCCAGCCTGGACTTTGATCTACCTATTAGCACCTTGTGTAGCTGGTATGACAAATGTGCTCCATCATGCCCAGGTGCTGTTGGTCAAGATGGGTATTTCTAACCTTTTTCCCAGGCTGGCCTCAAATCATGATCTTCCCTATCTCCAATTCTGAGTAGCTGGGTTTACAGGCATGAGCCCCTATGCTTGGCCAATAGATTATTTTAATAATTTCATTTAAAAATATTCCAGTTCAATTGTGTTAAAATGAGGTTGGTTCAGGGATCTAGCAGCCCCAAGGTGAGGCAACGCTGATTTTTGACAAGCTCCTTCTTTCAGATTTGTATTTGGAGCTCAGTTCTTGTGCTGGAGGCAATTGGGAACCCAGTATTTACCATACAATTAGAAATGTCAATCATTGCTTCACATAGTTTGGTATGAAAGGCACTAAAACTTGCAAATCCAATTGGCTGTTGGACTCTGGAAAATTGTCCTGAGGCTTTGGATTCTGATATTTCATGGGCCCTGTGCAAAGACACTCAAAAGCATCCTTAACTCTTGTCCATGCGTGTGGAGTCAGTTACAGGACTCCTTGGCAGCTGGTGGTAGACACAATGTCTCAGGGACCTTGGGAGCTATAGGAATTTTTGATGCAGTCAGAAGAGATGCAGACCTCTGCATAGCTCTGCCTGTGCTCTGTTGTGTCAAGGTACATCTGCTGTCACTTGGATTCCAGAAAGCCAGGCATTAGAGGGTGTGATACCTTGTGCTTAGAGCACCTCCCTCAAGCTCTCTTTGTTCATTGATTTTTTTTAAACAATAGGTGGCAGGAAGCTCTCACTTGACAAGATCCTGGAAATGCCCAGTGGTTCTTTTCTAGCCAAGTATGTGGTATGTCCATTTCCTGAAAAGGAGTGGAACTGAGATGCCTCTGGGATCTTCCCACAAGTGGACATGTGAATCAGAGCAAAGTCATCATAGATGGTTTTGCTTATGATCTGGATGGAGAGGTGTACATGTGGGATTGAGCCTTTCTTGTTCCCCAGCTAGATTAGATCCCTAACATAACCCCAAGCCTCAAGTTTCTCCAAGTATTTGGTGCCTCAGGTTATACCCTGTGCCTATGAAATAGCAGGAAACTTAACTGGAGACAAGTATAGGTTAAATAATATGGCTGTAAAGAAAACGGATGTGGCCCAGATGATTCTGAGAAGAACGGAGCCATGTAAGGAGTGATCAAAGTAATTAAATCAATCTGGAAATATTTTACCAGTCAGCATCAATCCAGATTTGATTTTTGGCTTTCAATTCCATTGTCATTATTGCTTAGAACAAAGGTAAAGGTGTTCTTAATGTACAGATACTAGTTTGTCTCCTCTTGCTATATACTAAACCAACCTGAGTCTCACAAGTTATGACAGTCATCATACTGGTGACTGTCAGAGATTGCTGCCACATTAGGCTACAGCTGGGGTCTGTGTAATGTACTGATACCACTCAGATACACGGTAAGTGGAACTTATACAGAAGCAAGAGCTTGGGGGCTAAAGGCATGTGTGAGAAATGGCTGAAGGTAAACAAATGCATAGTGAGGTTTAGAAATGCTCAAGATAGTCAGAGATAGGATGTATGGGATCCTTAGATTGCTGGTGGTGGATGACATACATGAGTATGCATTAGCTCACATACACTTAAATTCATACTCTGTTCCACAGTCTGTGGTAAGGGCTTTCCATGTAGTTTTCAATGCCCCACAACAATGTTATGATCTTCATTTTATAGGTGAGAAAATGAGCTTCGTTTTACAGGTAGACTGTGAGTGGTGAGTTTCATTATTAGGCAATGGAAGGACCACATTTATGCTGCTGGTGACCATAAGGCAAGTTGGGTAGGAGAAAGAAAAGAATAATGGAAATAGATGGAGGGAAGAGAAGAAAAATAACACATGTACAGTGTTTGCCATATGCTGAACCTGCCCTTGGGAATTCCCAATGTATTATTCCCATTAATCCTCATAGTAATTGTGTGAGGGAAGAGCTATTACTCCCATTGTATAGATGAGGAAATTAAGGCCCCACTCATTAAATAAATAGGAGAATTCACTACCAGTGAGCAGCAGCCCAGGTTTGATTATAGGTGTTTTTGGATCCCAAGACCATTGTCATTTCTGCTTAGAACAAAGATAAATGTGATACCTGGGCACAGATATTAGATTGGCTCCCCTTGCTATATAATATACAAGCCTGAAATCTCTCAGGTTAAAATAGTTACCTAGTTGGTGACTGTCATTACTGGTTCATTGCTTAGCTTCTTGGTTTGATCACAAGATCCACCAGGGCAGGGGCCACCTGCGTAAAAGAATGAATACCGGCAGAGACCGGTATGAGAGAGAGTGGCAAAGACCACCTGTTATGACAGAGGAATTTAAAAGGAGGGTAACTCCTACTGGGATGTGGCAAACAGGTTGAACTGTTAAATTGGGTGCTTCTAATTCACCTTTAGAATCACTGGAGACATTTTTAGCCATATTGAGTCCTATATCAGACCCCAGCATCATACTCCTAGGAGCAGAGCTCTGGGCATCTGAATTTTGTGTCACTCTTTGGTTGAATCTATTTCATGGCCAGGTAAGGAACCCCTGCAGATGGGTTTGAAGGCTAACCTGAGAAACGGGGTCCTGACTCACACCATCTGTCTCTAGGGTTTACTTTTCAAATCCTGCTGGTGGTAGCCAAGCCCCTCTGCCTGCTAGACTTCTAGGCCAGGCCGTGCAGGTGCCTAGAGCCCAAAATGAAGTCTGATATAGAATCAGGAACAAAACCTTATCAACTGAGTATTTGCTGAGCAAAGTTCAGCTCAAGTAGAGCTGTGGATCCGGGTTTCACAGATACCCAGGCTTCCGGAGGACTTTGATTCAGAGCTGGGTCTCTGGGGACCCTTATCAGTGGATGATAATGAGATTTCTATGTGAGCCATAAATACTATGTTTTTGGCCTCCCAGACCTAACCCTTCATTCCAAGGGGCCAGGTCCAATTTGCATCTGCACAGGAGGATTACAACAGGGCAGCCTTGGCTAGTTTGGTGTGCTTTCCCAGGCCAGGAAGGGCCTGAGCTGTGCCTCATATTTTGGTTGGTACATTGGTTTCTTGTCTTTTGCAACAACTGGGGAAGGAAACCTCCTAGCAGTAAAGTGGCCTCAAGACACACAATGAGCATTGAGCATTTGTTCTTGGTCCTGGGACTCACAAGAACTTGGAAGCCACTCACTTCAGCCCATTCATTCTAGAGGTCCAGGAGAGTTGAAGGGAAGGTGAATGGAATCATATTCAAGGAATCACCCAGTTGATTAATCAACAATAATTACTTGCTGAGCCTCTTCCAAGTGCACAGGCACCTTGGGAAGATAAGACAGAAATGATGTACAACAGCTCGTCTTGAGATGTTCCTAACTTAGTAATAAACTAGATTCAATATCAATATCAAAATGGATAATTACTACACAGCAGGCTGAAGATACATTGGATGCTTGCTTGCTCCATTTGCCCTCCATATGGGAAACTCCAGTTCCATCTCTTGCACCAAACCAAACCCAAACCGTCCCCCCCATACCAAATTTACAGAAAGCTTGCTCTGTACCTCACTTCTTATTTACCATGTCCAGTGACTCCTCACAACATTCCTTTGACAAGATATTGAAGATTCACAAGCATAGAGAGACTTAGTAACTTGCCCAGGACCACACAGTTAGATGTGTCAGGGGCAGGATTTGAAGCCTGTACTCTTTGCTCTTACTGCTACCTTGTCCTTTGCTGACATCTATGTGAATATCCATAGATCTATGGGTGCTGGGGAAGTTGGGGGATGTAGAAGTCTATAAGCTGCAAGGTGATAAGAAAGCAGAAAATCCTGGCTGTGAGAAATGGCCAGCTATACGCATGACCATGGAAAGAGGTACACATGGACCTTCTTGTGGGACCCAGGGTTTATGTAGTTAGGGTACAAACTGGTCAGAGAAATGGGTTCATATGCCATTGTGAAGCCTTTTCAATTCTAGACTGAAGGGCTTTGGCCTTCATTATTTGAGTGTAGGGAGTCATGGAAGGTTTTGATACAAGAAGAGTGGCAATACCAGGGGAAATACTCTAGTAATCTTCAAGCCAGAACAGACAAATCCTGGAGGAAATGGGCACTGGGTGTTAGGGATCTGTCTGAGAAGGACCATGGATTCCAGTGACGTCACTTTTCCCAGCCACAGCTCCAGAGCAAACCCCTGCCCCACCCCGGCCATACCAAGGTGTCCGAGTGAAGGAGCCAGTGAAGGAGCTACTGAGGAGGAAGCGCTGCCATGCCAGCAGTGGGACAGCTGTCCCACCAACTGCGGTGAGAGTGTCTGTGGCCTCTGTGTGTGTGTGTGTGTGTGTACATGTATGTGGAGGTGCATGAGCTTGTGCATGCATGCAGGTGGGTATGAGCTTGTTTGTACATACATGTGTGGGTAGGAGAGTGAGGGTGGCCTCTGTCAGACTGAAGGGTACTTCTTTGTTCCAGGGTACGCCCCCGACTGATACTGTGAGGATGGGTCTAGACTAGTTGGTGATTCCTTGAAGTGGGATAAGACAGAGTGGAACTGGTTCACTTAGCCAGTTGAACAAAGCTAGTGTCAAGTCCTACGGGAGCCAGTGATACACACCCTGGTGGGAGTTGGGTCCCTCTGGGAAAAGGAAGAGGCCAGTTCCCTAAGTGCACCATCTTTTTGCTCAATGGAAACAAAAATTCTTCAAGAGTGCAGGTGGTGATGGTTGGTGTGAGTGCTGGGTGATTCTTCTGGGCACTCTGCCATCCTGGGGCCCATGGGATTTTATCCTGCAAAGGCCTTGGCTAACCACAGGTCCTTGTCTCTCTCCTCTCTAGGTGGTGCTGCCCCACCAGCCCCTGGCGACTTACACCACAGTGGGTAAGAGGTCCCTGCAGCCCAGCTCTGTCCTAGGACCCTCATGGTGGCGCCAGCAGTTCTGGTCATTTTCTTTTGTTCGTTTTTGTTTTAATACCACAGGTCCTTCCTGCCTTGACATGGAGGTCTCTGCTTCCACGGTGACAGAGGAAGGGGCCTTGTGTGCTGGCTGGCTCTCCCAGCCTGCTCCTGCCACCCTGCAGCCCCTGACCCCCTGGACACCTTATACTGAGTATGTGTCCCATGAAGCCGTCAGTTGTCCCTACTCAGCGGATATGTATGTGCAGCCCATGTGCCCCAGCTACACAGTTGTGGGGCCTTCCTCAGTGCTGACCTATGCCTCCCCACCACTCATCACTAACGTCACGGTATGTCTTATGAAAGCAGAGCTGTGCCTACCCATGGTATCCTGTTAGAAACAGCTTACTCTATGACACTTTCCTCCTCCTCCTCCTCCTCTTTCTCTTCCTCTTTCTCTTCTTCCTCCTCTTCCTTCTCCTTCTTTTCTTCCTCCCTTCCACCTCTTCCTCCTTGTCCTTCTCTTCTTCTTCCTCCTCCCTCTTCTTGTGATACTAGGGTTTGAACTCAGGGTTTTCAGGTTTTAAACTCAGTGTTTTTCACTTGGGAAGGAGGCAAAGGTACTCTACTACTTAGCCACACTTCCAGCCCCCACAAATTCTTCTTATGCCTGTCTGGTCATGTTTTGTGCAACTTGAGGTTGGAAAGCTCTTCTCCTGCCTCTCTTCCTGAACATCTCCAGCTCCTCTGTAAGCAGTGAGTCTTGGTTATGATGAGCTGCAGCTTTCAGTAAGTGAGGAACCAAGTGAGAGGTAAATGGGTGGCCAGCTGATAACTTAGAGAGTGATTGTGCACTTAGCCATGGGAATTGCTAGAAGACATGTAGGCTGAGTAAAAGGTGATATAACCTCTTAGAAAATTAGTTTTGAGTTACACCCACCTATAGGGTAATATATTTGAGTTGTGACTGTAGTGTCAGATTGCCTTTGTCTCTAACTCTTTACTCACTATCCATGAGCCCCTTGGTTAGCAACTTGATCTCTCACTATAAAATGGAAATACTAACAAGAGGGTTGTTGGGATAGAATGAGCTAATTCATGTAGAACTATTTTGCACAATCTTTCTGGCACACAGGAAACAGTAAATAAATATTAGTTATTATCACTGTATCAAAGTGTGCCAGCAATGTGAACCATGGGCCACCACTATCAATGGCTAGGTAGGAATGGAAGTCCCGACCCCCAGGAATGAAGGAAGGGAGTCATAGTTTAAAGTGAATGGCAACCATATGTGACCATTAAGAACAAGACTCTTACAAGTGTTGAGGGAAAAAAAAGGCCTATGACATCAAAGGATCTTAAGTCCATTCCAGGGAAACTGTGGCAAGTAAGCTGAGGCTTCATGAATGGTTTCAGAGCCACCCTTGATGGCAGTATTTGCTTTGGTCCCCCAGGTCCCCTTTATTGCCCTCAGTGTCCAGTGTCTTCCCAAGGGACCTGCTCCCTACCTCCAGGCACCTTCCTGGCAGGCTTGTAGGAGTACACTCCACGGCAAACCAGCTTTTCAGTCTTGATGATATTAAGTAGAATCTTCCTCAGGTGACTCATTTCCATGTCAGGGGCCTGGAGTGGTGGACTTAGTGTTTGTCAGCCACTTCATTACTGAGGATTCTTTTCATTATTTATTCCCTTTGATTGTCCCTACTTCCTGCTTTGAAAGGTTCTGTGTATTAAACCAACTGTATTCATTAAGAAATAATTTATTTGTTTTGTCATGTTGTAAATTAACTCATCAAAGCTGGCTTGAACCAACAGTGATCACTACTGCTTTGTAAGAGATAAGACTTGTGTTAGGAGCTGGTTTGATGTATAATTCTCTCCCTGAGCAGGGAACCTGGGTTGGGAAGCACAGGCCTACACTGAAGGAGAGGAAGTGAAGCATGCATGCTAGCTCCAATGGTGGGAGCCCTTCTTACTCAAGTGCTCTATTACTCCATGGAAAAACAATTTAAAACCTTGCTACTCAAACTATGGTCCCTATACCAGCCACATTGACATCCTGGGAGACTTGGTTAAACATGCAGAATCCCACCCTGAACTCTTGGACTAGAATCTGTGTTGTAACAAGATCGCTAGAGAGCTGCACAAACTGTCCTCAATGATTAACGGTTTACTCTCAAAACACCATGGTAACTGGAGATGATAGGCAGGTAGGGATAGCAGGGGGAGATTTTTGGCTTTGTCCCACATCTATTCCTGTAAGAGCTTCCACTTTGATCTACTTTTCTCAACTGTAAAAGCATACTAAGAACCCAGGGCTTGAATCTCTGGAGGGTTTGATGGCTTGGCTTCTCTGTGCTGTCATTACCAGAAGGGTGGAAAGTGATGGAGCAGTTCTGGTCCAGGAGGACCTCAGGATGCCAGAGTTACAGTGTGGAGCCACGACTCTCTTTTTGTGTCTGAGCAGGAGCGCAACCACCTGCAAGATACAGCTACTGGGTTGAATGACTACATTTTCATAGATTTAAGATGCATGCACTTTTCACATGTTAAGATCTCTGAAATCAGGATGCATTTTATAGTCAATGAAACCTAGAAAATTCTCTCAAATTTTGCTCAGCCTTATGACTTCATTACTATTCCTGTCTTCTTTTACAGGTAAGCAAAAATGAGATTTCCAAGTTGGGAAGTAGTGTGAGCTAGGACATAGGACAGATAAGTAGTCAGTGGCAAATGAGGGACCCAGTTGAAATCTGTGTGTTTCTCCACCGAGGGTGTCCTGAGCCAGGAGAAAGGAGGTGGAGCTTCAAAGAGAAAACAGAGAAGGGCAGAGTTGAGGGGGAAGTGGAGATCTTTAAGAGACGGAGATAAGCAGGAGAGTATCCCAGGCCTGCTAACCATTGGTCCTCTGTTTCCCCTACAGACAAGAAGTGCCGCTGCACCCACCATGGGGCCCCAGCTGGAGGGCCCTGAGCACCAGACACCCCTCACCTATTTCCCATGGCCTCAGCCCCTTTCTACACTGCCAACTTCCACCCTGCAGTACCAGCCCCCAGCCCCAGCTCTGCCTGGGGCTCAGTTTGTCCAGCTCCCCATCTCTATCCCTGAGCCGGTCCTTCAGGACATGGATGACCCCAGGAGAACCGTCAGTTCCTTGACCATCGATAAGTTGCTGTTGGAGGAAGAGGATAGCAATGCCTACGAGCTCAACCACACGCTCTCTGTGGAGGGATTTTAGGCTTGAGAATCCTTTTTCCTGAAATTAGGATTTTTAATATGATCCTCGAGGGAGCCCAGCTTCCATATCTGGGCTACACTTTCTACCCCCAACCACAGTCAGAGTTTTGCCTTTTCTTCCATCTCTCTTCATTTTCTACATAATTTTCTTTCTTTCTTTCTTTTCCCCATTTCTTTTTCCAATTTTCTTTCCACGAGGTGGAAATAGTGTGATATCAACCATAATACTTTATGCCAAGTGTTCACAAGTTGCTGTTGCATGTGTTCCTGGGAATAGTCCCCTTTTTTCTTGTGCCTGCTGCTTTGTGGTAGCTGTGCACTGCAGAGATGTTCTAGGTTGTTACTCCCACTGTCATTTTGAGATGCATGGGGTGCTGGGTGGGGAACCAGCACTGCCAGAACCTCCTGGATGCAACCACCCAGGGTAGACCAGATGCCAGAGGCCTTGAGCTGTCAGTTTTTACAGTTGCTCTTTCTTTGTTCTTTGTAGCCTTGGCCAGATTTCTGTTCTGGACATCAACCTCAAGGGCTGGGACGCTGCACAATGCTGGGTTAGGGGTAAGGAAGGAACATCTGGAAGGGTAGGGGCAAAGTCAGCAAGAAGACAGAGGGTAAAGAGAGTGTGTGTGTGGAGGAGGAGGCTTGGGGGAGGAAGGCAGAGGAATCATCTAGCTCCAGCTTACTTGGTTACTAAGAAGCACATAAACGTGGGGGAAACTATTGCTTTCAGAGGTGGCTATATAGCTGCTTTTGAGAATGCTTGCAAGGAAAGCAGAACTGTTGGAAACAGGATGAATGAGCTCTTTGGCCATTTCTTCCCCTCTCCAGATCCTTCACCACAACCCCCTGAAGCCTCATAGCAAGGGTGCACTTGCTTAATGCTATGAAATGAGCTTCTTTTATATCTTTCATCGTGTCTAGGTCTCCATTACGTAGAGCCAAGGCCACTTCTACACGAATACCACTCACCATCCTTTCCAGAGCCTCAGCTAGAGCACCCGTAGTTTTCATTTCAAATTTTATGTTATTTTTACTAGTGAAGCATTTAGACTTTTCAAGTCTCAGCTCTGATGGTGGTTGCAGGCCCACGTACTGGCACATTGCCTGCTAATGACACCCATGACCTCTACAAGGCAGACACTTGAGCTGTGCAATCTACATAGAACGAATAGACATTTTACAGGAAATGACAGTTTCTTCTTTTTTTAGTTATTTTATTTTTATTGAAAAGGTGATGAGCAGGAGTTTCACAGTTGCATAAGTCAGGTAATGAGTACATTTGTTTTTAATCATTGTTACTTCATCCCTCATTATCTCCCACTTGCCTTTCTCTACTCCCCCCACCAGTTGTAGGGTTTATATTCAACATAGTGACAAGTGAGTATCAATGCTGCATTAGTTCATCCTATGTCCTGCTGTTTCTGTGATTTCCCCTTCCCTTCCACAGATTGAATAATCTTATACATAAGACACAGGAACAGAAAACTAAAAGAAATGAAGAAGAAAAAAAAGAAAGACTATATACAGGACATGTTAAGAACCTCTTGTTTCCATATCTTGGAGTTCATGTTGATATGCTTCATTGTGTATGGTCCTATGCACAAAGCAATTAGGTTATTGAGATCTCTTGTTAAGAATACCATAGACATATTCTAGTTCCTACAAATGAGGGATACCATGCAACCTACTTTTCTTTGGGTCTTGCTTACTTTACTTAATATAATTTTCCAGGAAATCACAGTTTCTTTGATGTGTTTACATTGTTTTCCATGCCCTGGGTTATTTTGATCCAAATTTCTTACTATCTGCTTCAAATCCCTGCACATTTATCTTTGAATTATTTTAATTCAGACATGTTTTCATTTCAAAGCCTTAAGACGGAGTCTTGGATGATAAATTTACATCTCTGCTAGTAGTTATGGTGAGCAGTCAAAAGTTAGGGGAAAGCCAGACACTGGTGGCTCAGGCCTGTAATCCTAGCTACTCAGGAGGCTGAGGATTGCCCATTCATAGCCAGCCCAGGCAGGAAAGTCGGTGAGACTCTTATCTTCAATAAACCACCAGAAAACCAGAAGTGGCTCAGCGGCTCAAGTGGTAGAGCACTAGCCTTGAGCTGAAGAGCTGAGAGACAGTGTTTAGGCTCAGAGTTCAAGCCCCATGACTGACAAAAAAGGGGGGGGGAATCTCAGCCCCGTTTGATTAAAGCCTGATTTCCTATTATAAAAACACTATGCAAGATTTTCCATCTGTGTGAGGATTTGAGAAGACACAGAAGCAACATCCACAAAGGAGCTCAAGTTGGTAGAACTAGCAAAGAAAATATTTTATGGATTTGCTAGGATCCCAATTGTGTCTTTTCCCCTTCTTTTTTTGAGGCTCAATGTCTTGGCTATAATTTAGTCCTTCTGGGTTTCTTCCTGGTTTATTCTGTAAGATGGAAACATTTTCAATAAAGATTTATAGACTTTTCTGTGCTGAAGAGTTTTGTTTCTTATCAGATTATTTCCCCTTAGCTTCCAGTCCCTTGTCAGACAATGTCATTAGAGGAAGAGCTTACACTAGTCTTGTTGATTTTGCAAATTGATCTGTTTCAGGAGGAGATAAAAGCAGTTGTTCCCACTGTGCCTGCTGCCTGTTTCTTACTGAGCATGGCCTAGTAAGCTTGGTCTCCAAGAGAGTGGGGATCAGAAAGTTGGGAGAAAATCTTTTAATCTGATTGCTTTTCCTGTTATTTGTGTTACATGAGTAATTTCTCACAATGCTGGCTGTCTAGGGTTAAGTCCTACCATTGGCAGGTCAAAGCCGACTCTGAAGAACCATCAGTTAATGCCCTGGAGTATGTGTTATCATCTACAAATGAACCCATCTTTTAGGATCAGGAATCACAATAAAACAGAAGACAATCTCACTTTCAATGCCAAGCTTTGGAGGAAGAGCTGTTTTGGAGTTGGGGGAGGGGATCATTTTCCTGATGAATTGCTGAGTGACAAAAAGAAAAGAAAAGCCAAATGTGGTGGCTCAAGTCTACAATCCCAGATACATGGGAGTCATATGTAGGAGGATCCTAGTCAAAGGCTAGTCTGTGCAATCTGAATTCAGACTCAATCTGAAAACTAATTTAAAGCAAAAAGAGCTGGCAACATAGCTCAGGTGCCTGTCTAGCAAGCACAGAGCCCTGGCTTTAAATCCTAGTTGTAGTCTGGTGGGAGGGGGCAAGGAAAAGACAAAAAAAAATCGGATAACCAAGTGGTTCCAAGATCCTAGACCTCAAACTGCACCCAATTCCAAATGAAAGTTTGAAGACATGTTCTAAAGCTAAATACAAGTTTTCTGACATCAGAAACCAGGGAGAATTTACTTTGTATTAATTGAAATCATTTTGGTTGGAGTAAAAGCTGAGATACACAATGATTCCTTGTTGACCTGAATTAAGTTGGGCGATTCTCTTATCACCTGCTCCTAAATATTGGTATGAATGTTTGCAAGCTGACTGATCACACTGGCGCTTCCTTTATTTGACTTATTGACGTAGACTGTTGGTTCACATGCTTTCTTGCAATGCTTGGGTGGAAATATGGCTTATGTTCTTAATCTGTTTGTTAGTCTAACAGCTGTGGCTGCTGTGGAAGGTATTTTATTCATTTGATACATCTACATTAATTTTTTTTATAAATTGACATCTTATAATTATATAGTCATGAGACGTACAATGTTATTATGATTTGTGAATAGTGTGGACTGATTATCTCAAGTCAATACTTCAGATACTTTTTGGTGGTGAGAACATTTGAATTTTACTGTCATAGCAATTTTGAAATGTATAATAACCTATAATTGATAATATTCACCATATTATGAAACAGATCTAAAAAAAAGTACCCCATGTTCTTCCTGCCTGAGATTTGATGGTACTTTTGACTGTGATCTCCCCATTTCTTCTACATTCTTGCTTCTGTAGCCAACGCATTCTACTCTCTGCTTCTATGACTTTGAATTATCTTTTAGATTCCACATGTAAATGAGAACATACCATATTTATCCCTCAATGCCTGGCTTATTTCGCCTAGCATAATATTCTTCAATTCTATCCACATTGTTGCAAATGAAAGGATTTCCTTCTCTTCAAGACCAAGAAGTTTTCCATTGTGAATATGTGAGTATGAACTCTTTCATCTATTGGTGAGTAATTCTGTAACTTGGTCATCGTGAGCAGTGCTGCAATTAATATGAGTGTGAGCATCTCCTGAGTATACTTCTCTCACATCTTTTGGGTAAATATTCAGAAGCAGGTGTGTTGGATTGTATGATCTAGTTTCAGTGTCTAAAGGTAACTCCATATAAGTTTTCTGTTCTAATTTGTATTTCCCCCAGAAATGTACAAATGTTTCCTCCTCACATTTCTAGCAACACTTGTTAATCTCTTGCTTCCTTGATAATAGCTCTTCACAGGGAATGAGATGATATCTCACTGTGGTTTTAATGTGGCTTAAATAGTAATTAGTGACGTTGAGCCTTTTTCCCCATGTGCCTGTTAGCTATCAACATATATTTGTTTATGGAATGTGACATAGGCAGGCCTCCGGAATGATACTGATGTCTGCTTTGGATCTGTTTTTTTTTAATTTTTATTTTTAATCTGTCTTTAAGTAGCTGTGAAAAGGAGTTGCTATTCAACAAAATAGTATGTGAATACAATGAATCTTGATCAGTGCCACCCTTTCATCATTCTGTCTTGAATCTCAAGCACCCAAATATTTTCTCTTTAAAACTTCCAAAGTTCTAAGTTTTTTTTTCTTTCTCTTCATTCATTCTTTTTTCTTCTTTTGCCTGTCAACTTTCAGATAGCTCTCTCTGACCAAATTCTTTTTTTCTGTTGATCTATCTTGCATATTTTAAATTTTATTGAGTATTTTTTTAATTTAAGGATTTCTGCTTGATTGTTTAAACTGCTTTTTTCCCTTTTTGTTTTTCTCTGTTAAAGAATTGAATATTTTTCAAGCTCATTGAGTTTTCAGAGAGTTCTTCCATTTTGTTTAGTATCCAGTCAATTTCTAGCATGCTATTTTGAAGCAATGGTTTTCTGACTGCTCTTGATGTTTGTTGGCATGCAGCATCATTCAAGCATTGAAGGATTAGGCATTGACATTGATTCCAGACTTCAAACTCTATGAGTGTGAGTCTGTGTGTGAGCCCATCTTTCTAGAAATCCTAGGTATACTCATAATTATACTGAGTGTGCAGTCATTTGCATCATTTCAGCACTGGATGGCACCCACATCCAGATTTGGTAGGAATCTGCTGTTGGTGTGTTTTCACTTTTTCAGCACTAGGGGGTGATCCAAGCCCAAGGTTACCTTAACTTTATGATTGGGTTGTTCATGAAGAACCAATCTATATAGTTTCTATTACCAATAAGTAATCATAATGACCAGAAGTACCTAGAGAGTGTAGTTCACCTCCATAAGTCCTTGTGGGGCAGGTATAGAGACAGATACCTCACCCAGAGGTCCTGGCCTCTGCTCAGATACTATAGTATTTTGCTAAGCTTGTGGTAGAATCACCATCCTTGAGCTCTTACGTTGCAGCTCTGGCCACAAATGCCACCTAGCCGTGTTACACACTTACGAAGACTGGCATAGTCCTGGGAAAGAACCTACACCAGATCAATAATGCTATGAGGTGCTTGTTGCTGATGTGAGCTCATGGTCCAATACTACTGAGACCAGCCACAGGTAAATGTTGGCTAGAATTGAAGCCCTAGTAGTCTGGGGGCTACATGTCTTTCCTTGGCACAGGTGCTGCTCCAGAGACTCCATCTTCAAGTAGACCTTACTTCTTTAGCCATTATAAAAGTAGTTTGGTGCATTTAAAACTGTTCAGCTGGGTGTGGCTATACAATTCACTTTTGGGCCTTGACTTTGCATTGCTTATGGTTCTAATAGCTTTATTTTGTAGATTCCTTAGGATTTACCTGTTAATATTTTTTGTCTAACCAGAGGCTTCTTTCTTCCTTTGCAAGCTATATTTAAATTTTTTCCTTTTCTTATTTTATTGCATTGGCTAGAATCTCTAGTACAATATTGAAATGATGAGAGACAAAATCCTTACCTCATTGCTAATCTGAGACAAGAAAGCATTTGATATTTACCACTAAATATGATATTAGTTGTTGGCTTTTCATAGATTTCTGTCAGCATGAGAAAGTACTGTACCCTTTTATTTCCAATATTTTTGCATTAAATATCATAGATCTGTTGAATTT